TCCAACCATGTAAAAATATAAGTGGTCAAGATTTTTGATATGGAAGCAGCTTACCACTATCAGCATAAAAGTATTTTGACTCTATCTCAAGTCGCGCATCACTTCCGAGTTTTTCACCACGTACGTTTTAATCAGAAAAAAATTCTCTACAAGATAAACTAGGTTCCGTCGCTAGCGCCGAACTTCGATGTAAACGTGGTATGTTTCAGATGGATATGCTCATATTTCAACTGCCACTTTTACATGGTTCTTATCTGTCTATGATTATATGCTGTATATGATTTTTCCCTTATAAAGATAAGATCTAAATGAAGAAAACAGAAATCTTTCTGTTTATCACTTATTTAGTTCTAAAAAACATTAGCAAATGTTTGTTAGACATATGAAATAAATATAATCTAGTTTTCTCTTTCATCATACATAACTGCTGATATATCCTCGAAATCCTACTAAACAAAACATATGTCTTGAGAGATAGATTTAGGTCATAGTAAACGTTTAAGGATTTCGAAAAATAATCGTTTTATAAAAAAAAAACTCAAAACTAAATGCTTTCATATATTCCTATATTTATGTAAAACAGTTAAATCCCCAATCAATTAAAAATCTCATCTGAAAATCATTCCCATGTGACCATTTCTTCAATAAATTCAATTTATTTTGACTAGATTGATATTTATATGGATCAATTTAATCATTATATTGCTAAAATTTCATACAACATTTTATATATTTACACGAAAAAAAAACATATTAGATTTAAATATAAAAATTAATGATTAAACTTACAAGAAAACTCCCTGAGGTAATTCAACACATTTGAGGTCATATTTTAAACATACAATATGTGTCCCAGAAGAAATCGTACTAAATCTCAATGCATTTCTTAATCATATAAAAGAGAATTTCAACATCTACGAAAAAAAAAAAAATGTTAACTTTGTTTTCTCTTGTCAGTGCAACATCTAATCAGTCGTTCAATTTCAATGATCAAGAAAACAATAGAAAAACTTGATAATAATTTTTTTTAAAATAAAACTCACAGTGAATGATCAATCATCTCACAAAATTCTCTTTAAAATTCTTCATCTTTGAATGAGATGTATGTTTCAGAATTTTAGGAAGAAAAAAAAATATATTTAGAAGAAATAATTCTTTGTCTAGTAGACCAATGTTATCGTTATTTTCTAATTCAAAATATTTCCAATGATTCAACTTGACGTTTATATACTATTTTACTTAGAACTAAGTTTTATATTTCGATAACATAATAACAACTATATCAACAAGCAAATCTGTCTTTTGAAAATATGATTTTTCGAAGTGCACTTATAAATTACGACACTTATATTGTTGTAAACATCACCCTCAAGACAATCTTCAAAAGGTCGTTGAGACATAGAGTACAACATTTTCTATCTATGAGTATTAAGTAATTTACTTTTGGTGTCAACTCTACAAAAATAAATAAGCATATGTAAAGAACACAAAATCACAGTGAAACAACTGAAGTAGACGTGAGGGTTTTAAGTTTGTAGTCGTTAAGGTAGTTAAACCCTGGTAGAAAGACAAAGTTGTGTACAACTTGATATTCTATATATTTTGACATATAAAGATAACATCTTATGGTTAGGAAGTAAGACAAGAAAAGCATCAAGATTTAGTATAATTTATTTTAGGAAACCCATTAGGAAAGAATCTTTAGATTAGAATAACGCTAAAAACGATTGAGACTCATATGTCTTCTGGATAGAATTTCTTGAAGATTACGACTTGAAATTTTATCTGTAAGTCTCATCATCTGAAGAAAACAATCGTTTTCATTGATATTTTCAGGATATTCTTCGGTTGATGAAATTTCACAGTGAAAAAAAAAACTACAAATCTTTTATTAAGTTTTTACATCAATATTTCATCATATAGTAAATAATCTTAAAAAATTTTCGTAATTTATTATAGAAATCATATGAACCACAATATTGTTTGATTTATTCTAAATAAGAGTTTCATGTATCGAAACCTAAAATTTGACCTTAAACATAATGAATCATTTTGCATAATTCCTTTTGATGGTATGATTATCGTACAAAGACTTCTTACATACTTTATCTATAGAATTTAATGAGTTTTGTAAGGAAATGTTTCAGTTCCTTTTAGCTCTATGACGTAAATGTAATTTAATAGAATGTCTTCTTTTTAAGATTATTGAATTCATAATCTATAAATATTACTAACATTTTAAACTATAAATTATAATAAACATTTCTATTATGTGTGATAAAGTCTATAAAATATCATATACTCAATGAATAGAATTTTGTTTGATTATATTTCACAATTGACATCCCATAGGAATAGTATAATAACTGTTAGAAAGTTAGCAAGATGTTAATCTTGAAATATTATCTTTTTTATTCATAAGAATGTAAGAAAAGTAAAAAAATAATATATTTGCCAATAAAGATATTGATTACTATCAAAGTTTTAAAATATATATTGAATTGAATTGTGTATATTAGAAGTAAGTTCGAATCTAATGAAAAGATCATAAAATATATTGATGATGACAAATGTCATGTTCGTGCTTTTTTACTTACTTATATATATATATATATATGGTACCAATCTTTCTTTAATTTGATCGTAAGATTACTTATTATTATTATTATTATTATTATTATTATTATTATTTTTTGTCATATTCTCGACAAGATAGATAACATTTTGTTATTTGAAGTGTAATGTCTATAGACCCAATACACCCAATATATTATATATATTTCGTATATCAATGACGTTTATTTCTAAAACAAAAAAAGAAAATAAATCAATGTATTTATATTCAGCTATGTAAAAAATAATATAAATAACTTTTGTTTGAAATTAATCTACGCTGTTTCAAGAACAAAGGTGTCAAATAGCAGAAAATTTTTACTTCTGCCAACAAATAGAACTTTATTCATGTGTAATAATTAGTAGATAGTACTAGGAGTAGACTGCATTTTGTCTCGATCAGATATATGAATGTTTACATAAATCCATACAAAGACGTTTGTCGAATGCATAAATTAGAATCATTACTTCATCAATCTAAAAAATATAAGAAACAAAATTTGCACCATTATAATCGGGCTAATCTCAGATTTAGCTATACTCAATTACTTCCATGCGTAATAAGAATGTGATATTCCGCATTTGATCCTTTTTCTATCACACCTACTTTGACTAGAAAGATTTCTAGGGTTGGTCGATCTATCTCTTTTTTTCTTTTTTTTTTTTTTCTAGTTTTTTTTTTTTTTTATTTTGCACTGTCACTCAAAGAAACGTCAGTATCTATCAGTACTTCTCAATCTTCCCCTTTTCGTCGGTTCTCTTCCGTGCTCATCTCTTCCTCTCTTCTCTTTGCTTTAGTGCGCGCATATGATGAAGTCAGAATTCTCTAGGAAAAACATATTCTAGAACGAGACAGAGATTGTTTTCTATTCGTCTGTTAAGTATATGAATGTCTATGATGCTTTCATTTCCATTGTTAATGTTGAACGAACATTCAGTTCAATTGACCCGGTGTATGCATCTCATCGGCGAGACAATAGACTAATGATGTCGTATATGTGATTAATACGTTTTCCAAAAGCAAGAATAAAAAAAGAAATTTAAGAACGTCTATAAATAATGAGAGCAGAAACTCCATTGCCTTCTCTGCTTCATCGACAATCTACTCGACGAAAAAAGGTTCAATTTAACAGGTAAACATACTTTATTCATCTTACATATTCATATTTGGAATTATAAAATCAGTGATTTTTGACATTATAAATATAACTAATAATATAATGAGTCTTATTGGATTAGTTACGTTCTTCTTTCTTCCTGATAATGTCGGAAAATCCGTCAGACATGAACGACAGATAGAGGAAGTCAACTTAACGTCAAACTAATAATCATGTAGGTTATTCTGCAATACATTGTAAAGTCTTTTTATTTCTGTCATCTTTTTATTGGAATTGTTTTTATCATTTGCCTTTTTTTCTTTTTGCTTCCTAACCNTTGTAAAGTCTTTTTATTTCTGTCATCTTTTTTTTTTTTTTTTAATAATAACTTAAATTAAAAAGTTTTAGGCTATATTAAGAATTGCAATAATTTTCAAGTCAATCTATATACTTAAAGAAATCGTACAGTAGTTTTATTGACTTTGATGTTGTTAAGAGAGTTAGAAAGATACATAACTCTGTGCAAATATCCGGTTTTTTTCAATAAGAGTACTCATTTCTTTTTACTTATCGATTAATGGAAGAGGAAAAGAAAAAGAAAGTTTGCTTTCTAATGTTTATTATACGTTTAGAAGAATATTTTAGTTAGATATTTTCTTTTAATTTATCAACGAAATGAAAACTATGAACATTTGATTCATTCTCTTGTCATTGAATTTTTGATGCTAGTTCAATTTGATGTGTTTTACGACGCTCAACTAATGTATAGACTCATAATAGTCTATATTAATTTTCTTTTTTACTGGTTGATGTAAAATAAATAAAGAGATGTTAGGAAGCAAAAAGAAAAAAAGGCAAATGATAAAAACAATTCCAATAAAAAGATGACAAAGACTATAATATCAAAGAAAAATGAAGCACATAGTGCCTTTAAATATTCATCAAAGAATTGGAACAATGTATTGATATAGGCAAATGGAGACTAGAGGGAGCTCAGCATCCTCCTTCGCCCCCTGAAGGCTTTAATTCATGCCTAGAAATGGTTGAGTTCCGTTTAAAAATGGAGGTTGAATCTCTTCGAGAAGCATTACAAGAGGGTTTCATGATTATTAGGGCTGAGCCCTTCTAATAACTCCTTTTTTCTTTTGGTTACGCCACTAGAGCAAGGTATTATTTTACTTCTAATGAAATGGTTATATTTACAAAACAAAAAATAATAAATTATGTCGTATTTGACATTCATAGAAAGAGCACGTCTTATAGTTATTCATCATATTTTTATGATATAGAATGTACGAACCACATCATCATCCACAATCGAATGGAAATGAAGATAATCTATTGATAAAAGAGACAATACTCGAACATGATATATCTCCTAGAAATTCAAGAACGACAATTCACTGGGGACCTGATCTCGAAGGTGATATAAATATCAAACAACCAATCAATACAGATACTGAACATTTTGATGCTCTATTTGCACGTTCGAATGCTTCACCTTTACCACCACCCCATCCTCGTTGTTATAGTTCGTGCTCACCCTCTACTGTTCCATTTCAAGTATTTACCGATAATTCATTACATAATTATGCAAAATCTCAGCCACATTTAACATCATCTTCTCATTCAGCTAAACAACGTGATGATCGTCGACAATCAGTTGTATCATCAACAAAAAGTCAACATTCAAGTTCAACATTATCATCAAATTCAGCTCAAATGAAAAGAAAAACATTTTTTTTAACTCATATTGCACAAGCACTTCTTCAAACATCAAATTCTCAATGCGAACAGTTGGAACCATTAGCACGATCATGTTCTTATAAACGTCCTCAATCGATAAAAAAATATCGACAACAAAAGAAAGGAAAAGAAAAGGAAAAAGAAAAAGAAAAAGAAAAAGAAAAAGAAAAAGAACAGAAAGAATATTTTCCTTCGCGCAAATATAGCACATATAACAATAACAATCTTCACACAGTCGCTTTCTATTCTGGTCGCAAATCGATTACTGGTGCACCATCAAGAATTTCTGCAACTGATCTTATGGCAACTGATGATCCACATGATCAATGGTCAAGTCCCAAAGCGCATCGATCAGGACGAATTGGTAAGATAAAAAAAAAACTATCCGATTTTTTTTTTTTTTTTTTTTCTTCTTCCCTAATGACTCTCCTATATCCTATAAAATGACGAAAGCGCCAGCTGCTTTTGCAACCAAACTCATTGTAGTAACTTCATTGATCATGACAACAGACGTAAAAACTAATTTATTGTTATATTCTCCAACAGGTTCTTTACCACTTGATCAATTACAAATACCTCATGATGGTGACGAAGAAATCTATCGTGTAAGACAATTTAATACAACATCAAAAGGTTTTGTTAATCGAGGGTAAACAAAAAAAGAATTTTTTTTAATGTTTTTTTAAATTAAAAAAAAATTTTTTTTTTTTTTTTTTATAAAATATTCTTCTAGTGATTCATTTAAACGTTCATTTAAACGAAGTGGATCAATAAGTCGTCGAGGTTCATTTCGTAAAACCGAACGTACACCATCACAAGAACATATTAGTGATTCTCTTTTATTAAATAATGAAATACGTACAAGTAATAATTCATTAACAAATTCTAAAACGGCACCAGCTGGACCTAATCTCAATGGAATACTTGATAATAATTATATTGATTCAACAATTGAAAATATATCATCATCACCAGTTATTAATGATATAGATGATGAAGATGATAATCCACATGTTGAACGTATTGAAACAGAAGATGGTCATGTACAAGATATACGTGTTTATCAAGTTTATTTACTTGGTATGAGTGGAACAGGAAAATGTTCACTTTTAAGACAATTTAAAACAACTGAATATAGAGGAATTTATGATTATTCAAGTTCAGTTGGTAAGTTAACGCATATGACTTGTCAGAAATGATTGTTGTCTAATGGCTAAAGGCAGCGATATATGCATACAGATGGTAAAAAGAATCATTATCAACAAACAAGATAGATTGTTAGGATGTTATAGACAGAATGTGATGAATAATATCACGTCAATAAGAAACTATATTATGTGAAAAAGGATAAGAAACAATGACGAATTAGAAAAGACAGATAGAACATTGAGTTGTGTTGTTAACATTATTTGTTTATATTTAACAGTTACAAACCATACTTAGAATAAGAAATAAAAGAATACTATGATAATCGTTTAAATTTCTTAGTAAAGACCTTCTACTGTTCTTAATACTTATTTTTTTTCCATTAGTATTCTTTAAAATTGTAATCAAAGAATTTCTTTTATAGCATTATAGAAATATAATTTCATCCGAAAAAAAAAAAACTGATTGATTTGTAGTATTAAATAAAAAATTTTTCCACTTGATTGAACTTGACACGATGAACAAATAAACAAACAGTTAATATATCTGTCATTTCAAATAAAATCTCATCACGGTAAAACATAATAAAGTCTGAAGCTATATTTGACAACATATCATTGAGTTAAACAATATAATTAACATTTAGAAATTACTATTGAAAGATAATAAAAACCTATCATATTTATAGTATATACATCATTAATGATTAGCTATGCTTTTTTTGTTTTAAATCACTTCCGATGTGTATTTTTGTTTTTCTACATACAATAATTCCTTTAGAAAAAAGACATTATATAAACTGAATTAGATTTATCACATCAGAATAAATGTTAACATAAGATAATATTAATATCTAAATGTTAAAATTAGTATTAATTAATGCTAATATTAATGCTAATTCAAATACGACACTATGAAACATGAAAAAAAAATATTTACAAATGTTAGTCACGTTTCATAATAATCAAAGTACATTTGTTGAACAATGAATCAGATTGTCTATAATAAATAATCTATTCAGAATCTTATATGTATCATCTTTCATAGAAATTTTATCCAAAAAAAATAATAAACATTGGAATATATTTTATTATTATTATTATTATTATAGATACGTATATAAATTATTATCTTTTAAGTGTTATGTCTAATTAAATAAAAGATAAGTTTAATAGTAAAGAACTTTTATCTTTGAAAGACATTAACTAATTTTCATCGCACTAGTTTTTCAAAGTAATTAATTAGTTCAAATTAGATTTCATCTTTGATCTAAGAATAATTTAGTTATAACAAAGATTCAATCAGACAAATATACTACGTGTAAAACATAATTCTACTAGTCAATATTATATTTATATTCAAATAATAATAATAATAGTTATTTTTGTTTTTCTTAAACAGAAGATGATCCTGACAATACAGTTTCAATAATGCTCGATGGTATTGAATCTCGTTTACATATAATAAATATCGATGTTGATCTTGTATGTATAAATCTTGACTATTAAGAAAACGAAATAAACTATTTGTAAAAAATATAAATAAACTTTTCAGATAAAATGTAGTGTTACTGGTGATGCATATGTAGTTGTATATTCAATAACTGATCGTCAATCATTTCAAACAGCAATTCAATTAATAAAAAATATTCGTGAAAAAGAATTATCAAATAATGAAATATCTATAAAACGTTATATACCAATTATTTTAGTTGGAAATAAATCAGATCTTGTACGAAAACGTGCTGTAACAAAGGAAGGTAAATTTAAAATATTTAAAATATTTTTTTTTTTTTTCTTTTTTTTGTTTTATCTTAGCTGCTCGTCATGCAGCACTTCGATATGATTGTAAATTGGTTGAAACATCAGTAGCAATTAATGATAAAGTTGATGATTTACTTGCTGGTACATTAAAACAAATTCGTATAAGTGAACAACAACGTTTTGAACAACGACGACGTTTAACAGTAACAAATGGTACAATAGATATTGATGATATTGAAGCTGAAAAATTAACCGGTTCATCATCACTACGAAAAAGTTCAACAATACAAAATCAAAATTCTAAAAATTTTTTTTCTAAATTTTTGAATGTTTTTCGACGAAAACCATCAAGATTACCAGCTGATGTCGAAAATTTATATACAGGTATTCGATAAGAAACAAACATTATAAAATGTACATAAACAAAAAAAAAAAAACAAATGTATTTTTTATTTATCTGTATTGTTTTATGCGTTGGAGAAAAAAAACAAAAAAAAAAAAAGTTATTCTCCTGCTAAACAGCTAATATATAAATGCTAAAGATTTTTTTTCTATATTCTATCACAGCTTACAAATGTATAAATATGATTCAATTCTGAAATTGATAAAAAGTCAATTAGTAAATATGTAAATAAATTTGTCTTATTATAAAGATTATATTAAATTGATGTTTTTTAGTAAAAAAAATTCCAAGATTATCTATTGTTCGGTAACTAAAAGAAATAGCTAAATATTCTTTTTGAAAAAATATAGATATATATATATGGTTGTTAAAAGAAATCAACTCATGATTTAAATAACTTGTTTTTTAGTATTTTTTCGAATAATCATTATGTGTTTTAATGTAAATAAAAATCAATCAAACTATTTCAATAGTTTATCGATTTCTGTGAACCATTGTCAATAAGCCAAAATCAATGTTATACTGTTTATATTTTTCATAGACTGGGAAATTTTCAAACAAAAAATAAAATTTCTTATAATATGAACGCATAAAGAAAAAATTCCTCAAGCAATTTTATTTTCAGTTAAGCGATGAATAGCATTCAGTAATCGCCTTAGGTTACAAAATGTTACCTATTCAATATCTTTTCAGAATCTACTAGAAAAGGAAATTAACTAGAGCAGTTCATTTCAATTGAGTAGTTATATATTTACAACTTGCTTTCAGATAATTGACAAAAATAAGTAATTCTACATGATAAATACCATTGATCTACAATAGTAGACAAAATTTTCTACTCTAGAATAACTCAGTCATTACAAATCGTACAGAGCTGAATTTTTTTTTTTTGCACATATGTTGTCAATAGTATAGATTAGAAACGCAATTCTGCTTTGTTTGCTTCAGTACAAAGAGAATTATTATAAATGACACGTGTTTCTACATTAAGCTTTTGACCTGAAAACAAATATCTATTCAATTGTGCACTACTTTTTACTAAATATACGATTGATTATTTATTTTAGTCTATAAATATTTCGAAATTCGCCGTCTTATCAATACGATGGTCATAGTTATGCTATTTCCCACCAGTACATCGTTTGTTTATGAAACTTGTAGACACTAATGTTTAACTGTAGTGATAGCTTCATTCACTTAATTACTAATGTATGCTCGTCTACAAAGCACATTGGATGATTCTTCTCCAAGTCAACAATCATAGTAATGAAACTAGTTGTGTGAAGGGCTGAGATATAATGCTACACATTGAGCCGTTAGCTGATATAGAAAGCTTATCTTCTCGGGAGTTCTTAGAAATACAAGATAAAAATATCGATACCATTTGTTTTATGATTTATTCGAGATAATTAAAATGAAGTATAGTATAATTTTTACAGCTAAAAATCTTAATAAATAGTTGACGTATATAATTACAATTATATTTCAATGCCTTAATTTTCACTTCTTTCACTATCATATTTGGAGTTGTTTTTGATGTTTTGTTAGTTTTATTTTAAACTTTAAGTAAACAATTTAGATAAACAATCATTTGATTTGGTCTTTATCATTACCAACAATACATTGCTTGATAATATTTAGTATACATTTTGCTTGAATCTTCTGTTCATCAGTATGCGAACATCATAACTTCGTTCAAGCGATTTATATAATGTTTTATTTCAGATAAAGTTATCTCTAATAGATCACTTATAAATGCAATACACAAAAATCTATTCTTTTTTTAATTTTCTTGTGCATTTTCATTTTCAGCTTAATGAGATTTTCAATAGACGTCATAGACACAGAACTGCTGACATTATTACACAATCCTGATAAGACAACGTTTCTTATACGATGTTAGAAAACTCAGGGTTCAAAGAACTTTTTTCCAGATAATATTATCAATGAAGAAAAATATTTTACTATGCGTGAAGCCTTCTTTTTTTTTTAATCTAGAAGATTATACTAGATGAACTCCGTATTATTGCACAACGATAGAGTTTCTCTACATTTCAGCCGCAAGATCTGTCAATTTCTAGGGAATATGTCTGTAAGCAAGTGCCATAGAAGAAGTGATTTATTTCAATGAGTATCATAATCAGTTGATCTGACGCGATTCAATATTTTTTATAGAAATTCTTGTTCGATTGAACTTTTGAAACACTTTGTATAGAAGAATTCAAGAAAAGTGGTTTGTTGGTAATGATGAAAATTAAGTCAAAAGATTATTTATCTGAATTGTTTCAATGAAATTTTTAAATTATAACACGTTGAAATATTATTCTGATGATATACATATAATATCTATTAAGTTTTCTAATTGCAATAAATTTGTTTCCTATTTTATTACATAAATACATATTATAGCATTGAATGATCAATGTACGTGTCCTCTCATTTGCGAACATAAAATCGAAATTAAAAATCTGTTAAATTCAATTTCAGTTGTTTTTTAAAATATAATTTATTCAAATTTAAAATAATTTTACGTTTTAAATTTGCTGAAATTTATAGAAGTCACTAAAGATTAAGTTTCATTATTTCACTTTAATGACCTGTAATTTGTAGAGAGTGCTAAAATATAGTAGTGCTTTTTTATTCTTAATGGATTACAATTTATAGAGTTCGCTACACATAATTGTTACTATAAATGTCATCAGTTGTTTTTGATTTTGAATAGATTGTATAATTATGATAGTAAAATGGAATCGAGCATTGAGTGGAGATCACTGATTGGAGTGCAGAAGCACTTATACACAAAAATCAAACATACAGAAAATGATATTCCAAAAATGATAGCTTAGAAATAGAGTTGTTAATGACAGTCTTCTCCTGACGAGCACAGCTCGATCCGCTCACATCACATTCGGAAGAAATATCAAGTTACCACCACAAATTATGATCCTATCTCTGAAAACTCGCTTTCCGTTCAACTATAATCGCTCTTAGTTCAGCCAATATCAACGACCCTTGCTCGTGCACTATGAGTATTAATTTATCAATAACGAAAGAAGAAAACCAGAGAGTACATTCTATTTTTGACTTCCGTTAAAATTCTTCGGAGCTAGGTTCAAAGAAAAATTTTAATTCAACTAAAACCTAACGTCCTCTACAAATTACAGTAATAGTACTAAATTTAAAAAANAAAACCAACGTTCGACCACAGAAACCTCTAAATACTCCCTATTTTCTAGTATTTTCCTATATAAATGACCATTCTCTAAAATATAGATTTTTTTTGGTAAGACTAAAAATGTCCAAGGTCTGGTATAGCCTATGGAAAAAGCGCCACTTTCCTTCATTTATTATCAAATTTTTCTCAACAATCTAAATGGAGTTAAAATTTCCTAGAGGGAGCTCAGTTACCACCAGTTCCCCTCTAGTTCCGTCACTACTGAATAATCATCTTCATCATTGAATCACATGATTTCCGAATACTTTCATACGAATTATTTAATTATAGTAAAAGTTCAACAAGATAAATATATTACATGTAAAACATGATTCTAGTTACTACTATTATATTTATATTCAAATAATAATTTTTCTTTTTTTTAAACAGATGATGATCCTGATAATACAGTTTCAATAATGCTTGATGGTATTGAATCTCGTTTACATATCATTAATATTGATGTTGATCTTGTATGTATAAAACTTGACTATAAAAAAAAAGCTATTCGTAATAAAACAAACTGTTTAGATAAAATGTAGTGTTACTGGTGATGCATATATAGTCGTTTATTCAATAAGTGATCGTCAATCATTTCAAACAACAATTCAATTAATAAAAAATATTCGTGAAAAAGAATTATCAAATAAGGAAAAAACGATAAAACGTTATATACCTATTATTTTAGTTGGAAATAAATCAGATCTTGTACGAAAACGTGCTGTAACAAAAGAAAGTAAGTTTAAAAATATTCAACATTAAAAAAAAGAAAAATATTTTTTTCTTTGCTTTTTTTTAGCTGCTCGTCATGCAGCATTTCGATATGATTGTAAATTTGTTGAAACATCAGTAGCAATTAATGATAAAGTTGATGATTTACTTGCTGGTACATTAAAACAAATTCGTATAAGTGAACAACAACGTCTTGAAGAACGACGACGTTTAACTATAACAAATGGTACAACAGATATTGATGATAATGAAGGTGAAAAATTAACTGGTTCATCATCAATACGAAAAAGTTCAACAATACATAATCAAAATTCTAAAAATATTTTTTCGAAATTTTTAAATGTTTTTCGACGAAAACCATCAAGATTACCAGTTGATGTAGAAAATTTATATGCAGGTATTCGATAAGAAAACAAACATTTTAAAATGTATATAACACCAAAAACAAATGTATTTTTTATTTATCTGTATTGTTTTATGCATTGGAGAAGAAAAAAAAAGAAGAAGTTATTCTCCTACTGAACGATTAATATATAAATGCTAAAGTTTTTTTTTTTGCTAAATTCGATCAAACCTTACGAATGTATAAGTATGATTCAATTTCGAAATTGATAACAAGTAGTAAATATGTAAATAAATTTGTCTTATTACAAAGATTAATACCAAATTGATTCTTTTTTTTGTATAAAAAGAACTTTGAAGCTTATCTTTTGTTCGGTAACTAGAAGAAACGGCGAAATACTTTTTTTATTGAAATATATGTTTATTAAAAACTATCCAATATATAAATTAATATTGAATATTATCTTAAGATTTTTAGATCAATTAAACTATTTCAATAGTTTATTGAATTCATTGAATATTTGTGAATAAGTCAAAATGGATATTATACTATATATATATATGTTTTTCATAGACTAAAAATTTTAACAATATGAAGGCATAAAGAAAGTATTCCTTGAGCAATCTTATTTTCATTTAATCGATGAATAGCATTCATTAATCACCTCGAGTTGCAAAATGTTACCTTTTCAATGTAAAAGGAAATTAGCTAGAGCAGGTCATTTCTATTGAATTCTTATCTATTTATAATTTCTTCTCAGATTAGTGACAAAAAATTTGTAATTCTACACGATAAACATTACTGATCTACTGTAATACACAACAGTCTCTTCGTTAAAAGATCTCAACCGTTATATATATATTGGAAATCTGAAAATATTTGTGCACATATGTCGTCAATAGTATTGATCAAAAACATAATTCTGCTTCGATTGCTTCAGTACAAAAGAGAATTATGATAGATGACACGTATTTTTGTATTAAGCTTTTTGACCTTCAAAGGACTGTTTACTCAATTTTGCACTACTTTTTATCAAATGCATGATTAATTATTAATGTTTTTGGATAGAACTGGACTTCGAATCTCTGGATGTTTCTAAATTTTCCGCCTCATCAACACGATGGTTATAGCTATGCCATTCCACATCAGTACACAGTTTGTTTATGAAACTTGTAGACACTCATGTCTAACTATAATGACAGCTGAGCTTCATTTACGAAATTACTACTGCATTTTCGTGTCAAACGGATAGGGGGTGACTTTTCTTCACAACAATAGTCACATTAAAATGATCATAATGTTAAAGAGGGTTGATGAACTTCAATGAAATCAGCTTTATGAATAGCTGAGATACAACGCTACATAATGAGTCGTTAGGTGATCTAGAAAGTTCATATTTTTCGAAGTTATGAAGCTCAAAGGCATCATAATTCTCTTTGCACTTACATAATTGTGTCTCGGACCTACACACAAATTTTCAATCGTTTAGCATCTATAATGAGAGACTTTTATCTACTACTCTAATTGGGAACAGTAGAGTAAAAAAGACCTTCATTCGTGCGGTGTGAAGCATAGCATTTATGTCGTCTATCGTTGTTTTATTTCCTAGATCGCACCCATCGAAAGTTGTGATTTTCTATTGCGATGATCTCAACAATAAAAAATTGGAAATATTTTTTGGAATGTAAAATGAAAATATCGATACTATTCGTTTTACAATCTTCACTAATAACTTTAGTTGGTCTCGACAAAAAAAGCAAATTTTTGTGTTGCTAGGATGTCATATTCATTAAATTTTTTATTTCAAATAAATTTGTTTCTAATAGGTCGCTTATAAAATTCAATACGCAAAAGAGAACTATTGAAATTATTATACAATCTTGAAAAGCCAACATTTTTTTTGTGTTCGCGTGTTTGAACAGTTTTTTTTTCTTACGGTAACAATATCAATGGGGGGGTAAATATTTTACACCGTGTTAAGCCTTTTGTTCTTGTACTCTAGAAATAAGAAGATTATACTAGATAAACTCCATATTATTTCATAATGATAGAGTTTCTCTGCATTTTACCCGCGAGATCAGTCAATGTTTGAAGAATATTTCTCCAAGCACGTTCAATAGAGAAGAAGTAGATCCATTTCAATGAACAACATCATGGTTCAGTGAGATGACGCGACTCAAAAAATTTTTTTTAATAGCAACATGTAGAGAATAATTTTTACAAGATTCTTTCTCGACTAGATTTTTAGAACATTCTGTATAGAATCATTCACAAGTATTACCGAACAAAGCATTATAGTTATAGTGAAGGTAAAGTTAAAAGATTGTTTTCAATAAAATTTAAACTAATAAAACATAAAAATACGATTGTAATTATACATATCAACCATTTATTAAGATCTTTAACTGCAATTAAAACATCTAGTTAGTCAAATTTAATTTTTCTTACAAATGTTAATTTCAAAGCTCATTCAGATATTTATTATTGTTGTATTCAAGAAAAATGATTTGAACATAATCTTGATCAGTTAGTGAATGAAATTTATAAAAGATTTATTTTTATTTAATATTTGATATTATGAAAATAAATAATTAAAAATCTTATTCAAAAATTCAAATGGAATATCATCCAAATCATATTATTTTGAATTATATTTATTACAATGAATGAATTTTATGAAGAATCAATTTTGAGTTATATATATACAGGATGATGAAACTCTTCTTTGNAGTGTTAAGTGAAAACTTAATTTCTTAATATTAAGCGTTAACTAAAATCACTTAATAAGTTAACTTAATTAAGTCGAATTAAAAACAAAGGTCCACCCCTAGCTTATACTTAAAAATTCATTTTATTGACGGTTGTGGTTATATCTCTACTGATGCTACTCTTGGTTGTGGTCATGTTACAGATTAATATCAAAATCAACAAATACAACAATAGTTACTATTAACTATGGACATGTATTTTAATCTATAAGAACTCACTCTGATGATGGTCGAAACGGACCGAAAATAAAATGTTTCACATATGTTTCCATTTACATAAATAAAGAGAAAAAAATCATGTTATTCATCAAAAGTTTTTGAGTATATATATAAAATCTATATTATGTTGCTTCACACACATTTATTGTTATATTACAGATTGCTTTACTTTTAAGAATTCTTTTTTTTGTTAAGAATACGATAAATTTGCAATATTAATAGCATAGAAAAAAATAATGATAAAGTACTAGACGATTGAATGAATGAAATAAGAGAGCATCTTTAAAAGAGATACAAAAGTAACCGTATTTATCGTTTTTGTTCATGTAAACGTGACATTTTGGCAGATCTTAGGGTGGTCACCACAGCACTTTTGTCCCACTTTGCAGTTGTAATCATTGATGCAGCGAATATAGTTTGATCTTATTTTTGGTGGACAACAGCCTTCTCGTTCATTCGGACAACAGTACACTTTGTCCGCTGAATTGATCTTGCACAGACCCTTGGCTGCCACACACTTACCACTACCTTGCCCACAAATGATATTTAGTAGAGGTTGTCCAAATCGACAAGGATTACACTCACACCCATGGCATGGTGGAGTTGAGCCGAAATCTATGTTTCCGTATGGTTGACAATAGAAGCATGGAAGAAGTGGACATCGTGTTCTTTTGATGTTGTTACTTTGACCAATTAGGCCAACGAGAAAACTAACGATGATGAACAGTTTCATTGTCGTATGTTTCAATTACGACGGAAGCGTTCACGACAATCGTAGAATATGTGACGCGGATTAAATGTAAAAATCATACGCACTTTTTTCTTGCTTTATACTATGAAGCTGTAAACAATGCATCGAATGGCGATTAGTATTTTGCGCGTGTCGATAAATGCATCTCTTACGCACATATTTTGCCATTCGATTATACTTTCTTTCATGTGGAGTGAGACTAGTGATAAGCCGTAAGATATAAGAAGTGGTATACCTTCATTTTCATTTCATTGTAAGCTATGATAGAACAGAAAAACAAATTATGATATAGACGTAAAAGAAACGACAGAACGAAAGAAAAATCTTGTAAATAGCGCCGTAATGAGTGTGTAAGGTTTCTTACGCGCTATGGTGCGTATATTAGTACGAGAGTGTTACAGAGGCCCTAGTCTGTAACGAAGATTTATCACAATATGAAGACTTTTCTGGTTGGCCAATCTTTCGACCTTAACTTCAACCTTTTTTTATTAAATTTTCAGCTATTTATACATCTCCAACACATACCAGAGAAGAAAGACAAAAGAACGAGAAAGAAAAACACTAAAGCAGAAGATAAAGAGAGGGGAACAGTAGATATTGTTGTCCTGCTTGAACTAGACTATATAATAATGCAGATAACATCAGGCATCTTTTTTTAAATGCACTTGAATTTAGAACAAGAGGACAAATTGAGAATTTATTGAAATTCTCAAGGATAAAAGGAAAGGAGAAAAGAGAGAAGAGAAAAAAAGAAGGAAAAAAACAGATTGATGTATGTGTACATAAGTAAATAACGCATACCAGCGAATGAAGACACACACATGCACACAACAAAGATAAAAAAAGAAAATACGAAATAATGATGATTATTGTTGGAGAACAAATCAAATGTTCAGTGTAATTTGCTTAGTATTTTATATAAATTACCAGTAAATAAATCCAACTGTCAGTATAAAATTTAATGTTATGCTTGGTCAGTAAATTAATAATTGGTTCGCTATTAAAGTTTAAGCATCAATAACTAATTCAGTATGCTCATTTAAAAATTTATTTACTCATTAAATGAATAGTACTTTTTAGAATTGATTATACATGTCTTTTCATCTTTCCGTTCCATTTCTTCACTCTAATTTATTTCCAAACGTTCTGTTCTCTAGATATAGTTCATATATTTTTTCTTCTTGCCAAGTTTTTCTGGAAGTATGATTGGTTTGTTTCCTAGCTCGTTCAGAATATATGTGGTTGTTCTGTGGAAAATAAAAGGCATACTTTAGTATTGATAAATTTGAACAAAAACACCTGAACAATATTATGTCTAACTTGGTTTGGAAACGACATTGGTGATGAAAACCATTGAAGTACCAGTTTATGTTACTGACGAGAAGATAAATACAAACGAAGCTGTTGATAATGGAAACAAGAAAAGAGTGAAACAAAATAACGAAATTAGTTAAAGAAAATAGTGCTTAACAGTCATAAAGCAGCTGAAGAGGCATACAAAAGAAAATGAATAGTATATACTTTTCATCAATATAGAATATAATGTCAATATTTGGAACATTACAATAGCATTAGACAAATTAAAATGGCTGGATGATGTATGCAATCGGCAAGCATTTTTCATAGAATGTTTCTGTAAACATGTCGTCGATATGGCAATTCTATGAAACTGCTGCTATTGCCACCTTCTGCTAAAGACATGAAAATTGAAGAAAAAAGATGTCGTCACCAAAATCTACAAAACCGTTGTTCATGTGATGAAGAACTTCTGTTAATTGTAATTATACTATTTTTACTGATATAGATAAATAAAAAAACTGAACAGAAATAAATTAAATACTGTGCTTTTCAAAACTAGTTACTATACAGAACTTTCATACATCTTGCTGCACTGTAGATTTCATTTATTTATCGCATTAGCTTAGTGAACTGTGACAATCCGAGGATCAAAAATGAGTGAGTGTGCCACCATTGGACATGGTGTATTGACAATTTAACTATTAATCGTTCAACATTCACAATGATCTTCTATATAGATTTTACTGACCATTTCATCTATTTTATCAACTAAATATTATGCTGCCTTTCAAAATTATTCCATAACACTTTGCCGCTTGATCAATTGTTTTTCTTACATTCAACCATTATTCTTGATCAACTTATGTGAACATAATATTTAATCTCTAAGATTCTTAAAAGACTAAAGCATTCTATTGAACGTAATTGAGGATGTACAACTGACACTGAAGAAGAAACACGAACGCATATCGTCTCACATATAAGCCATCAGTGATCTATTGAAGTGGAGATCGTTTATTCATCAATAAATCAATTCATGGATACGCGAAAAGTTGAGAAAAAGTTATGAACTAAATAATATCTAATCTAATAAACGAGAAAATTAAGAGAAGTTATAAAAAATGACAATGGTTAAATGAAAATGAATAAAATGATAAGAATGTTTTCAATAGTAAAATAAAAAGCACTATTCGATAAAAAAAACTAGAAAAAACGTCAACAGTTCACGCCATTTTTTGTTTGTGCGAGACGGCAGCAGGACCTAAAATAAACGAAATGAAAATTGTATCAAAAATTCATTCAATCATCACGATTATCTTTGATTATCGACAAGATAGCTCGGCTTTGTACTAGAAAATTATGTCTTTTTTTCAAAAATAGTTGAATTAAAAATGATTTTAATTCTATAGTCACTTGAGAAAATAAGCAGTTTTTTGAATATTAGAATCAATTTTCTGAGTCCTGATCAGATTTATATTTACAATCTATTATAATTGTCGAAATAGACTAAAGCCGCAATTTTACCAAATATGATTATAGATTTTCAATAGATTAAAATCAATTATTTTCGATTCGAGGATGTCGGTGTGTAAGTATGAGTATTTCTGTATGAATCTTATTACCACCTACATACAAAATCCACCATCATCCGCATCTCTTCTCACGACAGCTAATAAGTTCTTGATGCATGCGAATGCCAGATATACATTTCAGTGAAGCAATGCTCTGATCCGTATGCAAATGATTCTACCAAAATCAAGATATTTTCTCTAAGTCGAAAATTGTGAAATTTCGTTCATATTCTAGAATTCACGCAACCATTAGAAATTTTTTTCAGCTGGTTTCGACAGTCGATAATCTAGTTCTTTACTCGATCTACTAGAAAATACGAACGCAAGCGTTCAATCTGAACATGACACGCACGCAAAAAAACTTCAGGTGGAATAATCAAAAATAAAAGAATACTCACTTTGACGTGCATTTTGCTTTCTTGCTGTTGTTGGTGTTGTTGTTTTTGAAACAAGTTGTACATCAAAAGACCTGGCGGCCGCATTACTTACCGTGATTGTAACGGCTCCGTAGGTACGCGCCCCGTAGGTTGTCACAACTAGAGTAACTGTTTGAGTGGATCTCAGTGAAACTGTAATTTTGAATTGATGATTGCCTGCGCTTTCATCATTTGAGAGCAGTAAATTTGCTCTCGGATTATATGGATTAAAAGTGCTGTACAGTAAGCCATAGATGTTAATAGCACTATTACTCTGGAAAGTGTAAACGCCAGTGGTAGAGATAGTGAATCGAAGAGCGACATAATAGTAACTGCCATAGCCTCCTGGGCGTGTGAAAACTGGACTATTGGGTGTCAACTGCGTCCTATATGTGTAAATGCTCGGTGCAGCCGCTGTCAAAAGAAAAATATATTATCATTACAATCTTTCAACACAACCAATAATTGAAAAGTATTCAAAGACGTAGTGTATCGTCAAAGATTTTTGAAACTCTTAGTCTTTAGTTAATGATTACAACTTAGTAAGCAATTCGATGGCTCATCACACCCAATGGTAATTGATGGAAAGCATTATCATATGACGGAAACAAGAAAACTTTGTCTACATTGTTACTTTTGGGTCTCCACAATTATGGTCAAATGATGAAATTAAAACGCTCCACGAGTTAGAGTATGTAGAACACTTTAGAAGACTTTCCTAATTTTAGAGATGAACAATTATGAGAATGCTGAGATATTTCTGTAGAATAGTCGGGATGTTCTACTATTTCGGTCTCACGTTCCGATCTTTCTTTATCAATGATATTTCTGGCCACGATTCAGCTGAATAGCAGAAGAGAGTGTAAGACAAATATATTTCCTGAAAATTGACACAGCTCCCAACGGCTTGTCACGTAAATGGTAATAGTTTGATCTTATTTCGGAAAGCGTTTTTAAGTCTTTTCATAGAACTACAAAAATCTCGATTTTCCAACATCTGGTTGTGCTCAGTTTTACTATTTCGAAAAAGCGAAACCATTCTTCTTCTACTTCATACGGTTTTCATTTAGAAATATTGAAATTTTCATGTTCAGCAGACAAAAACACAACGACTTATTTTTACATTCATCAGTTTTAATTTTCTTCTGATCACAAGTGTACAATTATTCTTCGTTCTCGATCACGTCACAATCAGGAGAAAATGTACTATTTGAGCAGAAAAAGTTTATCTATGCGATTCTGCAAACATTTCTGATATTCAATGTGAAATATTTCCTTCTGAAATTTACTATGTCATTGAACGATGCCAAATCAGACTTTGAGAGTGAAAAAAAACCATAAATAAAAAAAGTATATTTCATTTGGATTCCTAGAATTTTGTAAATTCAATTGATTTCTTTAGCTAATTTTCATATTCTTTTCCAGTATCTTGCACTATATTTGCTGCATGTATCACAAGATTAATTCGTTGTATTCTAGATATACAGCCGAGTACTCAGATAGATTAACATAAGTTGTTAGTGCTTGACAGCTTTTACCTAGACTCGACTCAATGATAGCACATTTTTCTAATAATCTGATTTTAATTGATATTCTGGAATTTACGCAACCATTATGGTTCAAGAAAAATACTCAGTTAAGCTTCCATTACGAGCATGACACGCACCTAGAATGAAATGCTACTCACTTGTTCCTGTAATTGGATTAGTTATTAACGAAAAAGTCACGACAGCTGCACCAGTTGCCCTGATTGTGATAGCTCCATTGACACTCGCCGAGAAAGTTGTAACAACGATAATAACTGCTTGAGTCGACCTCAGTGGAACTGTAAATTGGAATTGTCGATTGCCTGCACTATCATCATCCGAGAGCAGTAAGTTTGCGTTCGGACTATATTGATCAAAAGTACTGTACAGAAAGCCATAGGTGTCAATAGCGCTACTACTCTGGAAAGTGTAGACACCACTGGTCGGGACAGTTACACGAATGGCCATGAAGTAGAAGCTGCCAGAGCGTCCCGGACGTGCGTAGATTGGACTATTGGTTGCCAACTGTGTATTATACGTGGAAGTAATTATTGATGAAACCGCTGTCAAGAAAGAAAACAATCGTTAGGATCTATCAATACAGTCAATCGTTGAAGAATATGGTTTGTAACTGTTGGTGTAGATAGAGTATGAATGAGAATGACGACAAAATTTACGTCCACATCTTGTTTGACAAATATTCTTTTCTTATCTCGATGCTAATATAATGAAATCGAAGCTAACCGAAACTTCTATTGTCTGTCTTAGATTTTGATAGCCCTTAGCTTGGTTTAGACGTGTTGCTACTTTTTTTTGAAAAAAAAACTTTTGTATTTTCAGTAGTAGACATATCTTTTCTTCTGATCAACAGTTGAAATCCGTGTAGTTTTACTCACGTGATATAAGAAGTACGAGAAAATAGTTCTAGCGACGGTAATCAGACCTAGAACAAAACTAATGGTTGAAAGAAGGTCTTCGTGTTTCTGCTACAGTGCATTGAGAAATCAAGATTTTTAGATAACACCGCATAGATCGATAGAGAACTGTTTGATCATTTTTTAAGTAAAAAAGTGGGTGTAAGCAGGTGCAGGAAAGTCTGGAATCGGCATTTTTATATAAAGATTTCAAGATAGTGATGGATGTTAGATAGATCACTCTGATTTGCTTTTCAAGTCTTTTTGCAGGAGCAAGGCGCAGCTTACTTGTTGAAGGAGCAAGTGGCAGATTACTTGTTGAAGGAGCAACTGGCAGATTACTTGTTGAAGGAGCAAGGCGCCGATTAATTGTTGAAGGAGCAAGGGGCAGATTACTTGTTGAAGGTAATGTAGCTCCTGTTGCATCACAACCATAGAAGAGTCGAACTTCTTGAATATCAATAGCACTTAATGTTTTACGCTGTCCGATCACAGCACCAGGCTGAAGTGGCTCAATCGTATTCAAGCCATTTTTAGAAAACGTCGTAGAACCATAATGCATGACTGAACCATAATCATACGGTGTGTTTTGCGTGTTGACTGCCGCATTGTCGTATTTTTCAAAGTTGGATATCATACCTGTAAGATCACAAAACAGGCTCATTGTTATAGGAAATATTCAAAAGAGAAGTGAAAGAAAAGACTTTACCGGTAATAATATTTGCTTCAATGACTCGAACAAAGTTGTCACGGTCAGGACGTGATTGTTCATGAAAGAAACCTATTTGGCGAAAGAGAAAACAGCAAGTTGAATCGATAGTGAAACGAGGTATAATTTATTCATCTTTCATTTCGGAAATAGAATTGCTCTATTTCTCCTTTTTGATGTATTAGCGAGAATGTGAAACTTCAAAGTGTTGACTCTTCTGTTTTATGTTTACAAATATCCATTAATTGTCCGAACATTAGATCTCTTTTACTCGGAAACATATCGTCTATTAAACATTCTTGAAAGACCACGAATGATGCTTTTGAATAGTCAATATGGTATAATATCCAAAATAGCCGTGTTCAAGGACTCTAAGCTTACGTAAAAATCAATCTTTATCACTTCATCATGACATCTACAACATCACAATGTTATCTAATCACTATGAACGTTTTGAAGGATACTTTTATGATAAACTACTAGGCCTTGAAAAATTTTAGCATGCTCGAATGAAGTCTCGATCGGTAAAACGCCGTGACATATAAATGCTGCACGGTCAGATAGACAGTAATTCTTTCACAATGATCACTGCTTTCTTTTCTTCGTTTTAGTCGTTTTAGATCAATCAGTAGATTAACTTCTGTTTCGTTCCATCCATATCTTGAATTAGTTAAGCACTTTTATGTGAAATCTCTCAGATCGACGTTTACTCTTGAAAATAGTGATTAACTATCCTACGGAAGGATCCGGGCTGGAGACAGACTGATATGCTCGTTTCAGTCTATCCAGTGTGTAGATATACTGATTCTGTCCGGTGCAGACTGGTATTTCGTCACTACATCGTTAGGAATGCAACATCACTTTTGATGTTATTTCTGTGATACGTTTTACTACTCAAAGTTTATCTTGTTCACTGAATTAACAAATCGGGTTCGACGAATTCAACTTTGTAATTAATGTCTCGAAATATTCTAATTGCTTTTTACTTTGAAGAAAAAAAAAGTGATTTGCTGAGTTTTAAGCATAATGGAATCTAATCAGTCAATAATTGACCGATAAGATTTCTTCTATGCTTAATGTTCACCCGACCAATTGTTTTCTTTTACACGATGAAAAGTCAACTAGAAAATTTCAACAAGCTAATTACAGATTTGAATTTCTCTATCTCGAAGACTTTTAAATAAAACTTTATTTGAAGTTGTTATTTTCATAAAATAGGGTTTTCTTAATGAAAAAATCAAACAAGCGAGCGTTCCCATTACATGAAAAACACAACTGATCAGCACCAGTAATTTATCTTCTGAGCTTGTACTTAACTATACTTCAAATTGGGCTTGGAGTAGATAAAGCCCTGTCTTTCCCTAATTCACTTTTATCCCTAGTGTGACCAGCATTGTGTTGGTAACTATCAGTAAATTAATTACTGATATAAAGTTTCTCGACATCAAGGTGAAGACATGGTTATGACATACTAATTTTTACCCAAACCAACCCACACCTCACCGTCTATATATCCACCGATCAACGCGCCAACAAGTTCTTATCTATGCGCACCCTCAAACAGTCAAGCTAGATGCGAGAGACGTATGAGTTTTGACCACCCATGACTTTTACAAGGAATATTTCAAGAAGAGAATTTGTATTCAACGAACCTAAGGTATGTAAAAATTCGTGCATGATGACTCCTTCAAAGATGCAGCCAGGACTTTCCAAAGACACTGTTCGAGTCATTGTCGCACCTGTATTTTGACCAACCTACATTTTTCAAAGACATACGCATGAACTTAACATTTGTTTTATGCCGTAGAAGACTTACATTCGACCAGCAACCGCTTCCATTTTCAATGACAATGTAATATTGATCTGATGATTGACGCGGTCGAAATTGAATGCATTGTTGATTGTTTACCGCTATCAAATTTTCCATTCGTCGCATAGCACTGATTATGGTTGCCTGATCTGAGGTTCCTACAAAGACAATAGTCAACATCTTAATAAGGCATACATGACGATGATCGACGAGAGGATATTTCAATAATTCTAATTCACTCAATAGATTCTTTAGTACTGAGTCAAGGCGAGTCTGATAAGTTGTGGCATGACATACCAAATCCTGATTGGAACTCGTATGGGACAATACCGTTTGGCCAACGCACACGGTTTCCACTCATCAAAACACCACGCTAGAGTAAAAGTATATAGAAACAAGTCAAGCGTCGCTGAGATTACAATTATAACGAGCAACTTACGCCATTTAGTGGAAGTTTCATATCACCTTCGAACAAGCCCACTTCAAAGAAAAAAAAACAGATAGAGTCATTATGTGTAGAGATCGGATCACAGCATTAAAGGCGAGCATTTATGATTGAATAGCATATGCAACTCATTCTTCTTCATGATAATCAGCAAATCAATGATTAGTATTTTACGTCAGAGTACTGATGCATATTTTTTAAGAAAGCAGAGTTATTCAGCCAACCGTTGAACAAATAATTGATTAAGAAGAAACATGCATTCTCATAGGCATTTTTTGTTAATCTACTGTAAAAATAGTTAAATGAATTTCTTACGTGATTCTTCTGGATTTTTCGATTTTCGCTTTGATGCCTTCAAAAATGATTTAATCAAGCATAATCCTTGAAATATGAGCTCAAATTCACAAGTGAACTCACCAAGTCGATTGGTCCTGCATGTGCACAAGCGATGATGATCAGGACAGTGAGCCACATGAAATTATATGATGACATCGTTTATTTCGAGTTAGGTCAAGAAAAACGAGTATTGTTCGAATATAACCAATTTTATGTTCCTTGTTGGAGTAAAACACAATTGTGGAGAGGTTCTAGAAAATTGTTCGATAATTATTTTTTGTCTTTCTCGTGAAAAAAAAGCAAAAAAGATCTGACGAATTTTTGTTAACATAATTAGTTGAGTGTGCGTGTGAGTCTGAGTGCTGGTGTCAGTATAGATATTCTTTTCACCTACATTCAAAACCTCACAGTCAACCATACCTCTAACTCTCTAAAAAGAAACCGTTTTCTGGAAAATCCGAACTCGCTTGAAAACTCTTTTGCAAGTCTACAGAAGTTTGCGAGAAGGTTTTCGAATACTTGAAGCATTTCTGGAAATATCTTCTTGGATTCCGAAGGTTCGGAGGATCTCAGACTTCAGGAAATGCCGATTTCAACATCCGGATGGTATCTTAGAGCACCTTTCTGTTGCTATCAACAACTTGGTGGTATTTTCAAAAACCGTTAAGGTATTATAG